GTATTTCTGGATTTCAAGGTGAAATTGAGAGGACAAGATGGAAAATCTGTATCGGTTGGCAGATTTCTTCCTGGAATTTAATGAAACAAGCCGGCACATTTTTACAGTATGCAAATTAAAATAACACCGTGGATAAGTTAGCCGGAACATTTTTGCTGAAAATGTTTTTTCCCCAAAAGACACTTGGTTGCATTCTCAGAGAGGCGATATTTTCTTGTCAAGGGGCAGGGGTAGTCTAGCATTATTGGAATTAATTATGTGACTAGTATATGCTTTGCAGGAGGGATTTGTACATGCCTTATTCGGAAAAGATCTTTAGAAGTAAATGGAGTCATCACATTGTCATTTGTTAAACAACGGCTTTTGCGGGTCCTATGCAACCCATTTGATGGGCGACGCACGACGGACGACGCACGACGACGGGCGACGGACGACGGAAAATGGCATGTTTGGAACTGGTAAATGGCAGAATTGGGACATAACAAAAAGCAAAATGCGACGGACGACGGGCGACGGCAGATATGGAATTCCATATGATATCCATTACTGACCATTGATAAAGGTGACCGGGTCCGCGTCATGGACGTATATAAAAAAATGGACTCGCAATGCCCTTAATCAGCTCATAGAGATCATTGAATCCACCAGCGGCCATTTTACCGAGCCGAATACAAAGCTTGCCCGGCAATGCCCGCCTTTGTTCTGCCTGGCGTCATTGGAAGCGAGCCAACCCGCGCATTTGTACTCGGCTTAGTAAAATGGCCGCTGGTTGGCTTCTATTTCAAACAAAGGCGCTGCGAGCCCAGGTTTTGTTTTTGTTTTTTTTATATATTTACGTCCGTGGTCCGCGTGCGGACTGAAAACCAAACACACAAAAGGTCAATGGGCAGTATAGGTCATCGTTGCCCTGATGACTGGATTCGTAAGTACCGGTACTGATGCAGGAACAAGGATTTCATCACTGGTGGAGTATCGCAAATCAAATTAGGCTCCACATTGTGCTGCGAACAGCAAGTAGCAGAACTCACGTCAGTGACCGTATGGTCACCAGGACCCTAATTTCGCCATTATGCTATGCCGTGAAATCCAACAAACTACACAATTTAATCAGGGCAACCATATAAAATCATGCTCGTTCTTAGGGTACGCAGGGCCAGGGTTGCATCATTTTTCCCACGGCTCTATAATGCTGAAGCAAATGAGCTGTGGTATGTATGTAGGTCGTTTACGTTTCAATTTTTGGAGCGTGGGGCGCCTGGGGAACACAGACCTTCACTGGAGGGCACGTACCCAGGCCCCCTTATACGTTGGATAGCCACTGATAGTGTTATGGTTACTCACTGTTTTAGGTAACACGGCAATCCCGCTAAGTCATATACATGTCCATGTAGTCTTGTACATAGAAGTTCACCGTCGGTTACTAAAGCCAAGCTGTACAGCTTATGTAGTACACCGTGCTACATATACAGCACGTATGTTTCCTTTAACTTAGTTTGCTTTATTGTTTAGGGTCGTACACAGGAATACCCGTGAGCTTTTGTGACGGAAACAAGACGCCAAAAGGATTGTTTTGTAAGTCAATGATCTTTTGAAATCAAATATGGTGAACCATAATATGACTGCCGAGCCAACTTGAGCGTAGCAATTGCACTACAGTAATCTTCAGCGCTAGCGCCGAACTTAATACGTATGTTCACCCAGCAGAGCCTGTGTGTCAATTTACATAATACGTGGGATTGTATGGGGTGGGGCGGCGCATGATAGGGGTAGCCATAATTCGGTCCTGCCTCCTGCGACTACGGCTTCGAATTTTGATCAAAAGAGCCAGCAGCGGAGAGCCGTAGCCAGTGTTAAATACCTGTACATGCTGTAGTCTCACAAGTGCAAGGTTTTCTGGCTTCTATTCATTTTGTTTCTTCAGAAAATCCCACGAAATCGGTTTTTCTATAAAACAGCATGAAAGGAGACCGGCTTCGATTACGCCATCTCGTGCTCACGGGAGAAATCACTATTGTCAAGTCTCTTTATGGGTACTACAAATCAAGCTTAAATTAGAAACTAATAGCAAAAACGATTTGATTGGATTATCTGAAGACAAAATAAACAAAGACAGAAAATTTGAGAGAAAATGATCAAAATCACACCCCTTTATATGTTTCAATGGCCCGCTCACACTTTTGCCGCCAAGGCCATTTGTGTGCATGCGTGCATAATTATGAATTTATTAGTGAAAAGGTCTATTCCTCTTACCCCCCCCCCAAAAAAAAACTACGACTGGTATGTCACGTACCGGGGGCATTATCTTTTTTTTCACACAGATCCTCTGTTTGCAGGACTGCAAAGTTGTAATTGGTCGAGGTTTTTATCGTTTGTGATGGCTTCCCAGACGACCGTCCAGTACGACAGCGACAAATGGGGCTGGATCATGGTGGCGGTGGCGTTTCTTAGTACCTTCGCGGGTAACATCAAGGGGCTGGGTGTCCTTCTCATTCCCATAACGAACGACCTGGACACCGATCTGTGGCTGGTAGGCTGGACCGTTGTCCTGTACGGCATGATGCAAAACTGTTTGGGTGAGCATTTGAAGGTTGACTCGTGGGATTTATGCTTCCAGAGACGTCGTAGGATGTTCATCTTTTTTTTTTATTCTACCTCTCAACAGGTCCTTTTGTGGGAGCCCTGTGTCGCCTCGTGGGAAGCCGTCCCATGATGGTTCTGGGCGGAGTTCTCCAGACGCTTGGCCTTCTATTGACGTCGGTATCCCCCAGCGTTTTCCCAATTACTATTTTCATTATTGGACTTTCAGGTAAATTGTTAAATCTATCTCAATTAAATTAAGACGATGCCCAGTGTGCGAGTAATGAATCAAAGTTGCTGAAAAGAGCTATATGAAGAGTCCTGTGGAAATACCAAAGTCCCTTCCAAGTCATCCTCAGCGTGAAGAAAGTAATTCCATTAGATTTGATGTTATGTGTAAGGCCTCTGAAACACAGATACAAAGTCGATACAGACAGTGTGCCAATCACAACAAAATGACTTGAACAGCAGTGACAGAGCTAAGATTTAAAAAAATTGCTTACTTTCATGACGTTTAATTGGCTCTCATATTCCGATTTCTGTTTTTTGAAGGTCTAGGTTCTGCCCTCATTTTGTTCATCGGTATGGCTGTGACAGCTTCATACTTCAAAGAGAAATACCCATTGGCTGTTGGCTTATCTATGATGGGTCTTCCCATTGGTATGATGGCATACGGGCCAATAACCCAGGTACTTTTGGAGACATATGGATGGAGAGGAGCCACGCTGTTGCTAGGAGGTGTCTCGTTCCATCTTTTGGCTGGTAGTTTGTTGGTGAGACGAGACCTATCCTCCCTTTCAACCAAAACTGATCGGTACCAAGCAGTTTCGGTAAACGAGGAAAGAGAAAATGATCAGCAAGAGGGAGAAGGGAGTGGCCCTAGTAACGAAATGCCCACCGTTGATGGTGCAAGTCGATCGGATGATTACCTTCATCAAGGCAAGGCGATGATGCTTTACGCAAGCTGTATGACTGCTATGGACTTCGCCGTGCTCGCTGATGCAAGGTTCGTTTTATTGGTGGCCGGGAGGTGCACAGCTGCGTTCGCCTTCAGTGGCTTCGTGGTGTTCTTGGTGTCGCACGGTCAACTTCAGGGGCTGAGCGAGACTGAGGCGTCGTTCTTGCCGACATCTTTCGGCATTGGCAACGTCATTGGCAAGGCTGTGGCTCCCTTCCTGCAGCAGCTTGACGTGAAACCGTCTATGACATTCTGGGAGTGCTTAGGGGCATCGCTTGTTGGCGCCTCGTTCCTCATCGATGCCTTCATCCGACCCTTCGTTGGCCAGTTGGCCGTTTGTGCTGTGATAGGACTGAGTTTCGCATTTGTATATCAGGCTATTGACGTAAAGGTACGGTTTTTGACAACGGATGAACGTCTTGTTAGTGTCCTTGGCTGGCAAGGGGTGTTGCCGGGATGTTTGGTGGATTGATACCAGGTTTGTATGTTTAAGTTGATGCTGTAGTGTCTTACATATCATTTTCCGTGTGTACCTCCTGCATAGATGCCATGGGCTTTAATTAGCACATTCTTGGTTTTTGTTTTTTGGTTTTTTGTTTTTAACTATAGAGTTAAAATAAATGTTGTTACTCGATTTTCCTAGGATGGGTTTACGAGTTGACGGGGAGTTTCAGCATAGCCCTGTGTGTGTACGGCGGGGTGACGTTGCTGTCAATTCCTTTGTACCTCGTCGAGTCCATGTGCGCCAAGGCGCCAACGCACTGAAAAGAAACTCTGCCGCTCGAGCAGGAACTGTTCGACTGAAGCTTTTCCATCGTTACTTTAACCGAAGAAACGATACCAGCTTATTGAATAGGGACTTTCTTCAAAAATTACGAAAGCCCTGTAGTGCCATCAAGCATGCATTTTCAAAAAGTAAAGTATATTTTTTCAAAGTCCGTTTTTAGGAGGTATAGTTTTTCTAACTTCGTTTTTACGCGCTCGGGACAAACATTCTGAAGACAAACATTCTCCAGATATATTTTTATCAAGTTTGTTTTTATGCCATATATTTTTTCCAAGCTGATTTTCATTACATTTTCAGGTTTTGATTTATTTCTCACAAAAACAAATTTAACCGAAATATAACTCATAAAAAGGAACTATAAATAATCTTCGAAAACAACTTCTTCAAATTTGGGGACATTTCTATTTATAGATCTTACGGGAACGAACCGGACAATAGATATCTCGAACAGACAAACTTGAGTAAAAGATATCTCGTAGAAACGAAGTTGAAAAATGTACTTCATAAGAATGAACTTTGAAAAGCATACCTCACTTTTTGAAAATATACACTTGATGGCACTCCTGGGCTTTCATAAAAAATACAAAAGAGCCTGTGATAAAAACGAACTTAGTTTCTAAAAAGATGGAGTTATATTTCTCCTGAAACAGTGTGTTTCTTTTCAGAAATGTTAATGATTTCTTTTATTTTTAAATCGTAATGCTATTGCTTGCTTTTGGATAATTTCCATGGTATTTTACAATGAGTTATTCAGGTAACAAGCAGTTTTTAGCAACAAACGTTTCTTTTGTATATAAGCAAAAAATAGAGCAACTCCATTTCCTTTAAATGTGAGGTGTATAGCCAAGCAAGAATAGTTTAATTACATAACGTTGAGGGTGTCTAAGCCTGTGCTGCATTATCGTTCATCAGAAGCTTTTGTAAGACTACGCATGTATAAGTACTGGACTTATATAGTTTGTCATCCCTTGAAATATCGTGGCATGCCGCACGTACAGATCTCATTTTGTTTTGACTTGTGAACCCTCTCAGGTAGTTGTCGTAGAGTCTTTATTTATGTATTGCATTGTTACTTAATCACCAACACTGAGCCTAGAGATCAGTCGTGCACTTGGGAATCTCTGATTTTAAAAGGCGTTTATGAGACAATAACAGTGACTATATTGATCTTCCATCATCACCTTTATGAGCATCAGATGTGATTTCAAGCTATTCATGGTGACAGACAACTAAGGTGGAAAGCTTGCGGTGGCACCATGCAAGGATACGATCTCTTTGTGACTCTGCATGGTTCTGAATAGAACCGTGAGGAACTCAACGTTTCGGACAGTATGCTCTGTCCGTCGTCAGGAGACTGAAGAGATGCAGGCATGGAGGGGGGTTTATAAGCTGACTGGGAGTACTGGAGTGTGACGGATCCTACTGTGTAGTCAGGTGGAACGAGGATGCAGCTGGTGGATCCACCTGGGTACTGATGCATGTCAGTTGGTGATGGGCTGTGGCGGGGGAAGGTTGCCTGGGTATAGGAGACCCAGAGGACCCATCAGACCGGGAGATGAGCAGGGGCTGCCAGATGTCGCTGATGGAGAAGCCGATGTCTTGAGGCACGATGGGGTGTTTGGAGATTTCCAAGGCTTCTCTAATGCGTCTTGGGTACCACTGTTCGATACTAGCGATGAGGTGGGCTTCTTCCAAGTTGATGATGTAGTATTTGGCGTGGGAATGTTTGATGATGGCTGACTTCTCATAGTCCCCCTTCCTGCCATGGGCTTTGTGTTCTTTGATCCTGGTAGGGAGGTCCCTACCAGTCTCTCCGATGTACACTTTGCCACACTGGCAGGGGATCTTGTACACACCTGGTCGGCTGTGTGGATCTTGCCTGTCCTTATGGGAAGTCAGCATCTGGATCTTGAGGGGAGCTGTGTGGAACACCTTGATGTTGTCCTTGCTCAGGATACGCTGGATGTAGTGGGAGGTACGTCCTAGGTAGGGGAGAGTGACAGAACTAGGGGCCTTATCTAGTTGGCTTTGGGTATAGGAGACCCTACGGCCGGGAGGGGGACTTGATCTTGGGTCTTGATCTGCTTGGGCTGGTATCCGTGGCGTTGGAGTGCCGTGGAGATGTGGTGGAGTTCCTTGTGTAGGTGCTCTTGGTCGCAGATGTTGTAGGCTCGGCGGATGAGGGCTCTGTTGACCGATGACTTGATTTTGGGGTGGTGGAAGGAGGCGCTGTTGAGGTACCGGTCGGTGTGGGTGGGCTTGAGATAAACCCTCCGGGCCAGACTTCCATCCTTCCTTCTGGACACCTCAACGTCAAGAAACGAAATGCTGCCATTCCTCTCTTGTTCCATGGTGAATTGGATGCTGCTGTGAAGCACGATGAGGTGGTCCATGAAGAGTTGAAGGTTGTCTTGCCTGTGCTCCCAGATGACGAAGGTGTCATCCACATACCGGAGCCAGATCTTTGGGCGGTGGTCTGCTGTGGCAATGGCGGTCTGCTCGCACTCTTCCATGAAAATGCCAGCCAGAATCGGGGATATAGGGGATCCCATGGAGGTTGCAGCTGTTTGTTCATAGAATTTGTCCCGCCACTGGAAGCTGGCAGAATCGACGCAGGTGGTGAGGAGGTCTTGAAGCTGGTTGGGGGTGAGGTCGGTGCGGTCCTTGAGGCTGGTGTCGGCCTGGAGTCGGTCACTCGCTATAGTGCTTGTGTCGGATGTGGGAACGCAGGTGAAGAGTGACACGACATCAAAGCTGACCATGATGTCGCCTGGCTGCAGCCGGAGGTCTTGGATGATGGACGAGAATTCATCTGAGTTCTTGATATGATGCTGGCAGTTGCCAACTAGAGGGCGAAGGATCTAGGCCAGGTGTCTTGCAGTGTTGTCGGCATCTCTTCAGTCTCCTGACGACGGACAGAGCATACTGTCCGAAACGTTGAGTTCCTCACGGTTCTTTTCAGAACCATACAGACTCACAAAGAGATCGTATCCTTGCATGGTGCCACCGCAAGCTTTCCACCTTAATTTATGAGCGCCAAGGAGGTCAAATGTTAGAAACTGAGGCAAGTGTTCGCCGTACTTGTGGATGTGGTGTAAACAGGTGGTTGCATTGGAACAACATGATAAACTGGGTTGGCAACTTGGGTATTACTTTACACAATCAAACAATTGGGGATTTAGAGCTCATTGAAGTGTGGCAGTCGGACAGTTTCTGATCTGTCGAACGAATTAAAAGAGTCATATTTGTTACTTATGTCCTTTTGTAACAAATCCAACGTCAAATCGAAGATCCACATGACGTAGACATAAGTCTTACACAATATATGGGCCTACGCGCAGAGGCAAGGACTGCGCTTGATCCGCGACTCGCTGGGAGAGAGTCACTGAGTTTGACAAAGCATTAATTTTGAACCGTGAGCATGAGGTTTTATATCTACGTAACATAATTTGAATTAGATCGATGACGGGGTTTTCCTTTACAAAATATCTGTTTACTGGAACTTCAATTTTAGAGTTATTATGAACCATTTCTTTTGTTTTTTGCCCTATATTTCTTGAAAACCCATTAACAAAGATGACACCTCATTTTGCAATCGAATCGAAACCAGACACCGCCTACTGTTGCTGTGCTTTTGTTAAGCACAGATATTGAGCATGCGCGTTTTGTACGTGTTGTAGTGGAAACGTAACTACCCATAGGGAGTGGCCATTCAGTGCCTTTTTACCTCAATGCACCATGTAATACCGACACCAGTGCCTCGTTAACCCATGCACTGAGTAACTGGGTTTAATCACGAGTATTTTGGTAAGAGCGTACACAGATAAATATGGTTCTCAGGTTCCGCACACGCAACAGAACGACGAATTCATGAGACATTTGCCGGCGACAACTCTTTGAACTTTAACCAAATGAGTCCCGTTGTTTAAAAACCGGGGCAAATGTTTGGCTGATTGTTTTACTAGTCAGCTTGTCGTGAATTTGGTGTTCACAGGTGAGTGCACTGGATCCAGGTTTTAACTTCGGTTTCAAGTAAAGAAATCTGCCATTGAAGTGTGATACATATTTTCTGAACCCATCACACAAAAGGAGGTCATATTTTTAGTGATAAGCATGGTCTCAGGTACTCTACGAATGACAATGCCAAAACCAGTTTGTAATGCGTCTGAACTTTACTAGACCTATGAATGTTGAGACAGAATGGCAGCCGGTTAGCCTACTACCCAAATGAAGCGACACAGGAGAAATCTACCAATAAATCTATTTCTGCGCATGGCAAACGTGTAACCGGATTATTGCACGGTTTCTGTGATTCACTTGTTGCTCTACAAGATCACTTGCATCATATGAAATATCTGCATGGGCTCGCATCAGTGCCCTTTATTTAGCCCACGTTGCAGCAGAGGTCAAGCCCGGCGGACATGTACATTGTATGGATACAAATAAGGTGATACGAGGCTTCCCGTCATCGTTGACCCAATCGGAGTCGTTTGTGGTAAATACATGTACTGCAATGGTTCGCTAAAGCCAACGATCACCTTTGTATTTGGCTCGGTAAGAAAGCCGTCAGTGGCTTCAGTTTAGAGCAGTTCGGGTCCAGACCTTGTTATACGATGTCCATGTACCATATACCAGGCAAGATATGGGACGGAGGGGGTACCCCCCCCTTACCTGACCAACACAAAGGCTGGGGGGGTTCTCTCAGTCCCATATCTTGCTTTAAATGGTACCATGAGGTGTCTCCTGTACCGAAGCGAATCACAGCCTGTTGATGAGGTATACATGTAAAAGAACTCTGGTGGGTAAATTTTAGCACTTGGATGCCACAAGCAGAGTAACCCTTGTAGGACCATGATTTGACACTGTTTAAAAAAGCTTTGTTATTTTTTTAACACTACAGCTTTAGCAGTTTGGTCGGACATGGCATGAAAGTATAATTTACAGATCTAACCTGACATAAGATTTTCAGTCCCTACCTGATTCCGTGGGTTTTACCCAGAATGCTCCTGTGGGGTTTTCCTCCCACCAAACTGTAACTGCTTCTCATTGGGATCTCCCTGTACAAGTTTCGTCGGGCTTGCGCGCTACAGTGTCTAGGGTACTTTTGTGGAATCCTTGGTTTCATTACCAGCCAGGGGCAAAAATAGAGGGTTTTCATTACTGTCGTGTTGCAGGTCAGAGCTTTTGTTTTGTGCTCGGGGGAATTTTTCTTACATTGGGCTTCATCCTGTCGTCGATATCATCGGGCGTTTTTACTGTGGCCTTCACAATTATCGGGTTGTCAGGTAATGACTCTGAGTTATTCCTATTTACCGTGAATCCGTCTGTGGCATTCTGCATCGGTGAAACTACAGTTAGCAATAGAAGACAATATGACGGTGAATTCGATATTTGAGTGGAGGCAGTCCTGGCTATAGCGATCTTAGATGTACGTAACGGTGTTCACCACTCTCATGGGCCGCAATTTAACCAAGGCAAAAACACAAGCATCTAACTTAATCGGTACTTGGATTGTAACTGTGAAGCAACGGTGCTATTTCAAGTTGTCCAATGGTATCTCCTCACACGAAGAATTGAACTGGTGTTGGTTTTTTGTCCCATGATTTGAGCCAAATCCAGTAAGTGGAATTGTAAAGAGGTTGTTAAATGCAAAGCGTCGAGTGTGCTGAAGACAGCATTTGACGAGGAGTTCCAGTAATGTTATGCTCATACCATCCCTCGTAGGGAACCATCACTTATGCTGCCTTGACTTGTAGTGGAGTGCAGGCTTCAAATACGTGTAGTTTTTCAAATCCCAGAGGCTTGAAGACGGTTTTATTCACTCTGTATCGTTATCCCTTTTATATACTGAATGAGCATCGCTAAGCCTTTTTTCATGTACGTTTATGTATACATATGCTATTACTGTAGGGGTTGGATCGGCGCTCATCTTGTTAATCAGTTTCGCAGTCATGGCATCATACTTCAAGGAGAAATACCAGTTAGTAGTCGGGCTCTCATCATTGGGCATTCCAGTCGGTATGCTGGGAATTATGGGCCCATAAGCCAGGTCCTGCTAGATACCTACGGCTGGAGAGGAACCACGTTGTTGATAGGAGGTATCTCGTTTCATCTAGTAGCATGTAGCTTATTGGTGCAACGGGATCTGTCCTCCTTTGAGACAGACACTGAACAGTACCAAGAGGTTGCGATTAGCGACGGCGAAGAACATAACCGGGGATGAAGAAGGGAGCCTTCGCACCATCGAGCGGAGAGTGAAGTCCAGCAACAGACGCCTGTCAGAATCAAACCTTTGTAAGAGTCAGGCGACTCAGAGGTGTTGCGAGCGCCTCATAATGGCGTTTGATTTTGCCGTGCTGACAGATGCGAAGTTCATTCTACTGATCACCGGAAGGTGCGCTATCGGTTGTGCCTACACCGGTACAGTGGTGTTCATGGTGTCTCACGGTCAACATCAAGGGCAGAGCGAAACCGAGGCGTCGTTTCTGCCCACTTCCATCGGGGTTGGCAACATTGTCGGCAAGTTGGTTGTGCCCCTCCTGCACAAGGTCGGCGTAAAATTCTCCATGACACTATGGGCGTGCATCGGGGGCAAGCATTGTGTGTGCGTCACTTTTCCTGGACGCTTTTGTCAGGCCCTTTGTCGGACAGATGGTCATCACGAGTCTGATTGGGCTGTGCTACGGTGTGGCGATTCAAGCGACAGACGTCATTGTCCGGTTCCTCACAACGGATGACCGGTTGGTTAATGTATTAGGCTGGCAAGGGTTGTTTACGGGTATTGCTGGAGCGCTTGGAGGACTTATACCAGGTTAGCACAGTTTCTCTTATAAAAAGACAGATCCGTTGCCGATTCCCTCCTATGGGGTGTATTTGATGGTCCACGTAATTAAGTGTTAATACTGAGTGCATTACAATTATAACCTAGTCTAGTTTGTTTTAATTTATAAGTACATTATTAAATTGACATTACCATTATAAAATAAACACTGCTACTGATAGCTCATAGCAGACGGTTGTTTCATTGAAATGTGATGCCTATGCCCCCTCAGCATATCTCGCTAAATTGACAAACGGTGAATGTTTAAAGCGTGTCTGACGAAACGTAATATTGAGCTTTCCCTTTTTTCCACAGGCTGGATTTACGAGAAGACTGGGAATTTCAGGTTAGCTTTCTGCATATATGGTGGACTGACGCTACTTTCGACTCCGTTTCTCATTTTCCAGGAATTGTACGCTGAAAGAAGAAAACCATAAAGTTGATTATTGGCTCTATCCACAAGTCAGACACACTGAATTGAAAGCGAGGTTAACTGCTTTTTATTTATTTTGCTACTTTAGAATAATTTAAAATATGAAAGCACTGAAATAAAAGCTTAATTACAAAAGAATCTCCTTTATGCTGATGACGGCTTTAAAATTATTATGTCTAAATGTTTTAAACCACATTAAAAATGTTACTTACGCATGGAATCCAAAATAGTCTGGCACAAAATTACATTAAATACAATTTTATTGAGATTGGGAAAACGATCAAAAATGGCTTCCCCGTATAAATAAGGTCATCTGGCTTGCTGGGCATTGAAAGTGTGAGAAATCATTGAGGCCTTGCACCGAAAAGGTTATGAACATATCAAACAGAGTCTGCATTGGTTCATTTATCAATGATAACAGATCTTAAATCTAAAAAAAAAAGCTGAGGGCCTGATCTTGGGAGGACCTTTTTCAAGTCTCTGAGAAGTCAGTTTTCAACATAGAGGAAAAGAGAAGTGAGAGTTTGAAATCTGGAAAAATTAACACTGATGTATTCCAAGATTTACGAATGAACTGATCAGCCTTGATCGAACTGCACACATCTGAAATTGAATAATGAAGTCTTAAACACCTTATTTTGACAGTTTTGTATAAATACCTTAGGCATAGATTGCTGAATTTTAAACTTGCAGAAAAGTTGCTGCAGTAATCTTTGAAAAAAAATAGTTCACTTGCTGTTGAGACATATACAAAATTGTCCGCTGCCATAAATTACTTTTCAGCAGAATTCAAGCATCGGTTTCATTTCAATGTTTATTTTGCGTGTAATTTGTTTGAAATGATTTGGGACGTCTGTACATTTTAAGCACACAAGCGAATACAATCTTCGTAACTGTACAACACAACACAACGTGTAGACTTGTACAACAATAATCTATACTGCCTTACGAAGCAACACAGTTCCCAAATTGCAACAAGGTTTAAGGTGACTTAAATAACCCTCACCCACTTCAAGTTATTACGAAATAACACCGGTAAGTTGATTAAGAAGGCGATTATAATAGTCCTCACCAGACTCTTGACGGAAACCTGCACCCAGTAAACCTCAACGAGGAAAGCAAGCTCCCAGACCAGGACCGCAACCAACCGTCGCTATGCCAACAAGCATGGAACAACGGCACACAATCCTTCTAGTCTAAGCTCCGCTAATTCCCCAGTTAACTGGTTCACACGGGTCCCCCAACCCTATAATCTACCACTTCTTAAAAAACGAGACTGTCTAACGATTCCCTAATCTTCAAAGAGATCTGATATAATCGGCAGCTCCGGCAACTGAGAACAAGCACCACACTAACCGATCGCAAAAGGTACACTTGAGGTAGATCCCCAACCACCAGCGGTCGTACGTCAGATTTACACTCGAAACTCAAAACACAACTCCAAAGAGCTCTGGTTAGCACGCTGCCTTCTTGAGAAGTCCCGGCAACCTACGCAGCCAGCGCCGGCGCCCACAGCTAAGGTAATGCGCGCCTCTGATTGGTTGCCGCGGACATGTTTAATGCATGATAGACGCGTCTGAATTATTAATGACCAGACTAAACACAAGTCTGCGCAGCTACCCTGTTTCGCCACACTACTTTCTATACTCCGACCATAGAGCGTGGGGGAGGGGGCTCTTGCTCTATGATGTGACTATGGCCGAGATTCGCCGGTTAGACCTCCGTTCGTGCGCCAAGCTGTACTCGTGGGATCCAAGTAACATGCTCCAATCACTGTTTCTGCTGCGACCGCCGTTGTTTAAATAAACGCTCATGTGGTTGTCTCTTCTCTTCTGCTCTTCAATATTGCCAACGTTTTTACGAGAATTTCACGTAAATAAATGTCTTGAAATTCAACGAGTCAACAAAAGCCCCAGTGTTTATGAATCACAGGTTTCTCTAGCTGTAAGGTAGTTTGTCAACTCAAAAAAGGCTAAACAAAGGACAGCACAATTAATTTTAATTTTCCTTGTAATTTAATATCTGATTTGCTGCCCATGTGTTTCAATTCATCAAAGTGTTCAATTTATCTTACAATTATTTTACACAGATAAGACAGTTCCAGGGGGAAATAGCACCCTCTGCTTCGCCTCGAGTGCCATTTGCCCCTCAAGTGTACAAAACACCATGGACCCCTACGCAGCAGGCAACAATTGTTGAATGGATATGGGAGACATGCAGAGGGTCTCGTCGAATTAGGACAAATCAGAAATTCTTCGCAAAAAAAGTTTTATTCATTAAAAAACGCAATGACAAAAGAAACTTTGTCTTCAATGTTGGACTTTTTTTTTTTTTCATTTCAAACACCCTGTGCCCAATTATGCCAATTTTAGACGGAACGCCTAATGATATAAAAAGCAATGAATTTTGTGTATGTGCTATGGGAATACCTTACTGGCTCACTGTTAAATGTTCTGTAAATGTGGGGGAATTCCGTCAACAATTTGTTCAGATGTTTTCAATTCATGGCTTACATCAACTCGGACTGTACTCATGTATACATCTATTATACCTTCAATATTGTACAACTTGCTTATTAATACTACTAAATAAATATCACATGTATATGTACACAAGGGTGGATCCCAGGAACTTCATTAAGGAACAAAGGGTCCATGCCCCCTCCAGGAGTCAATTTGCTCTACTTTCATAACGAGAGAGGCAACTTTATGGTTTACTTCCTCTTGCAAGAGCACCAAAATGTACTCTCCACTCCCAGAAACACAATAAAACGTAAACATGACAATTTCTCCAGTTTTGATATCCCCCCCAAAAATAAATGTGGTCCTTGACCCGTCCCTGCTGCATGTATTATTGGCATACGTATGTAGGATATATTCACAGGTGAAGCATGGTGTTAATATTATGGGGCATTTCCTGTCTTTGAAATATCAAATGCGCGTGTGTGACATCAAGATAGGAACCGTTTCGAGCACACGTGCCTGTTCAACCGGGGTACATTTTGCAGGAGGCTCGGCACTGGGGCCATTTTCTGGAGGGGTGGGGAGGGGGACATGCTAGGATCTGAACGACTTAGTGTTCATTGAGTGATCAAGGCCGACTATCACCATGTAGATTTTTTTCCCCCTTCTCTGATTTGAGTGCCAAGGGGCCACACAAGGGGGGATGGGGGATACCTCCCACCCCTTAACGCGCCTCTGTGAATGACAGTTGACCAGAAATTGTTCCCTTTATGAGCGAGCGTACATGTAAATTGTAAGTGACGCTTCAAGGTGGTCAAAGCCCAATGGGTCAGTTCACTGAAGACAAATCCGATGACCATGGCAATGCTGTTGGTCATTTACAGTGGTCCCAGCCAACAGCAGTTAGCACTTTGGTATCTACTGTATATAAAGTTGTTTTCATTAAACCAGGATGAACTAGGCAATATATTCATCTGTGAGTAGGTCAAATAGTTAGTGTTTGCCCTTGCATCGCATAGTCAGAAGAGGGGGGGGGGTCGGTGGGGGAGGGGAGCTGATCTCTCACAGCATTTTCAAGCACCCGACGTTGAAGCCGTCCCCCTTGTGTTGGCCGACCAGTCCCAGCAGCGCCTGCTTCTTGGCGGTGCTGCGCGAGGACTCCAGCTCATACAGGGTGCAAAGGTTGAAGAGCAAGCCCTCGTCCAGGTAGCTGGCCGGGTCGCCCTGCACCAGCTTTTCCAGGAGGGCCAGTGCCTCCTTCAGCTTGCCCATGTACAGCAGGCAGACTGACTGGTTGTTGATGGCCTAGGATAGGAGAACAGCCAAAGCGTTAGGGCTGAGCCAGATGGAATAAAATATTATATGAATACTCATATGTCCACCAAATCTTTGGTCAGCCAAGCCTTTGTAGAAGCAATGTGAATTGATACATGACATAACATATAACAATCATTACAGTAAGTTAGAATAAGTTGTTAACCAGAAGCCTTTTAAATTTTTTTTTTGAAAATTTAAGAGGGCTATTTCATTTTGGTTAAAGACTACAAATTCAGAGAGCAAAATCCAAAGTGGCCATCCTGTGAACAAAGTCCTTTCTTTAACAATGTACTCACTGTGAAGTTGCCAGGCTCAACAGCTAGCACATCGTCAAAGGACTTCCTAGCCTCGGAATATTGGTTTTGTGCCATATGCATGAAGGCCCTGGAAGGATCAAGCATTTGAAAGCGAGTGACTGTGCCTGACCACCGTGAAAGGTTCATTTCTCATTTGTCCAAATTTCTTTTATTACAGCCTCCATGCAGGAAGTGCAGATGGCACTAGGCCTCCTCATGAGGAGCCATCCTACACAAGTAAATGGCCTGAAAGAACTTAGAGGTTCGTACGCATATACGGGTCAAGTTTCAGTTGAATGTGCACAAGTCTGTGGGCTCTTGTGTTTGCGTTTTCAGTAACGGCTTAAAGTTTTTCTGGGCAGCATTACATCCGGTGCAAGACACATTTCCAAGACAACTCGTTACAAAACATTCTGTCAATTCATGTTCATGTACGGCGCTGTGGGACTTACACTGAGAAGAAATGAATTTGACTATTACTCACTTATTCATGAGTATGGCTGCTTGGGATGTCACCCCCTTTGATTGGTTGTAACTTTCTTCAGCTCTGGAGAAAGCCCTTTGAGCAGCTTTCAGATCTCCCAACTGTTGACAAAAGATACTGACAACTTCATTCATTGGTCAGGGCCACGTTGACACAGAAGGTGAAGTCTCCTCAGACAAATAATGTTCTAATTTGTGATTAAACATACAAAAATGTGTTTCAAGCAAGACTCGGAAAAATACTGAAAGGGAGGCTTGGAATGCATGCCGATTATAAAACAGTCGAGTGCCATCTCGGTCAACATTTCGCAGTGTTTAAAACAGATTCAGGGCATAAGATTGCAATTTCTTCCGCGTGAATGAGGTCTGCACATGGCGTGTATACAGCCCTTGGTTGTGAGGTGAAATGACACAGAAACCTTAGCCCTGTTATGGTTACCACTACCTAATGGCGTAACACTGTACGGTTGCATGTGAACACAGCCTGCAAGTCAGTGCTTTAAGTTATTCCCATCCGGCTCATTTTAGTCATGTGGAATAATCTTCGGTGTTCCGTGACACCACCCCTTTTACTCTGTCAAAGTGTTGTCCGGATCTGTGCAAAGCCCCCTTCAGTTGACAGACTGTATTCATATGTTCGCCACCTTGAATTGAAAGTGGGGTGAAACTTTTCATTTTGAAAACCTGTGAGTAAAGAATAACTGACGAAAATGAAGGTTTGATACAAAGTCATGCCAGTTTACACAAATTTTAAATTAGTGATAGATTATATCTAAATATTTTAAGCTACATTAAAAAAGAAAAGAAAAATGAGGTTTGGAACCTAAAATAATCTGACGCTGTTTAACAGATTATGTTGAATATGAAGGATTCAGGAACAAGATAAATATGGCTTCCCTGTCAATACAGTCTATTGCAATCGATTCTGTAGGGACATGGAGAGGCCTCAAGGAGAGCATACCCACTCACCTGCAGGAAGATTCGTCCGATGCCCGACAAGAGATTAGAAGCGTTTTGTGAGTCCTTCTTAAGTAACATCTCGTACACGGAAACAGCCTGATTAAAATCCTAAAAAAAGGCACAGGGATACTCAAAATCATTAATTACAGTTGGTTGCAAATAATACAAGTCCATCGGATGACAACCGTATCACGTTTGCTTTCAATTCCAAATCTTAGTGGAGGACACTTACACTTTACCCTTCGTCTACAATGAGCTTCATTATCCGCCATGAGCAGAAGTACCCCCTCATCAGTTGAAAATAGCTATGTTGGTCAGGAGTGTTCATTTGGCTGGTAGCGACGCGCCCGTAACGCGTGCATTTCATAGTTGTTTGTGAACCAGTGAAGTGCAGTTGTGACCAAAGGAGCTGCAGTTCTTAGGAAAAATTGCGCCCTCTATTGGTCCAGCTCAGGTTCCTTGAACCAACAACTGAATCTTAGAAGCATTACCCTTAAATTACCAGTGCCAAAGTAAGCAATGCAAATCTTTCACCTAAACGGCTCTCAGTCTAACAGCAAGTTACCCGCACATTTAACTTGGTTAAGAATATGAAAACCATACCTTCATAGACAGCAGGCAATTTCCAATTGAGTATAGCACCCGGACTTCTCGAGACTTCCACAGATTGACTGATGCTGGACAATTTTGACAGACAGGATGAACTCAGAGTTAAAAAGGGCAGCTTGAGTGATGTTTCAGAAAGAGGGGTGCGGGTTAGAGGATTGATGGTGAGGGGTAGATAGGGAAGGGCGGTGGGTTTGGTGGAAGCTGTGTAAAGGTGAGAGCGGAGGGTGAGAAGAGGAACAATATGAAAGAGTCTGACACCCTCCTTTGAACAAATTCATTGGCTCTGAAGTAAAAGCACTGTTCTCTCGTGGAAATTGCACTGACCTTGTCTGTTTTCTTCGGTGAGATCAATTTCTGCACCATACTCACTCATGCCACTCTCCAGGTTAAACAAGATCTGGAAGTCAACAATGAAAAACATTGCAAAACCAGAGTAGAGCAAGTTTGAGCGACAGACATTTGTCGACCACTGGACCATTTTCAATGGTAACCCTTACACAATATAAATCGTTGGAACAGGGCAAAGGTGAACTAGTTACTTTCAAAGAGTCGTTGTTGAACAATGACAAAGGAATGCTTTGGTCAGTTTAATTTGAATGGCTTGGGACTTAACTTGAGACTGAGTGAATTGTTGTGGACTC